CCAGCCTTTAATAGCAATGGCCTCCAACCAAATAGCAATGGCCTCCAACCTAATAGGGATGGCCTCCAACCTCACAGCTTAGCGCAGCCTGTTTTGCATGACAAGCCATGTGTAACTTTTTGAACAGAAAGCGCTTTTCGCATCTCTTTGCAACAACTTCATCACTGAATTGGAAACTTCCCTGTAGCCACACCTTGGCATCATGCTGCGAGAAAGCCTGCCTTAACCTGACAGGAAAGACGCTTAAACTCTTTGTCGGAGAAAAAGACATGAAAAATGCACTCTGGAAGGACAAAACAACCACTTTGAATGGCCTCTTCAGTTCCTTATCAATGGCTGGATCTGGTTCCAACTCACGGGCTCGCTCGAAGTCTTCCTTTGCCTGATAGAATCGGGAGACTTCTGCGGAATGTCTACTTCCTCCCTTGCAGCATGTCATCGCAGCCAAGCACAGCCAAGACTGTACAAGACTGCACCTCACCTCATCCAAACTGCGAAGCTCCAGGTGCGCCTGTCCTGTGCGAGATCATTGCAGACGCTGTCCACAAAGCGGAAGACCTATTGGGAGCATCTGGGGCAGGCTAGCTAATGAGGAATAGCATTTGCACGTCGCATATATTCTTCAGTCCGGAACCACTGGCAGAAATATGAAGACGGCATTGGGCATCGTGCAGAAAAAATACAGTATATTTCATCAAGCCGTTTGAAGGCGGCATCAAACGCACGAGCTAGAGCGGGAAAAAACTGTGCATCCTAATCTTCAAACGGTAAAGGAAGAACCAACAATTTGTGGTCAAAACAGTACCAACGGAGGCGAACGAACCTCCCAAAACAGCACAGGTCAGTCGCGTCAGTCGCGCTTCGTGGCACCCACGATCGAAATCGATTGAAACTGTTGTGATTGAGGCAAAAAAGACACACTGCAAGAAACATGGCAGAGAATGCCTCTAAATGAGTCTTTGGGCAGACTAGTCCGACCAATTCAGCTCATCACTGTAGAATTGTAGGGCGGCTGCAGCACGGCTGGGCGCAACAACACAGGAAAGTGCGAGGGATGTAGGAAAAAGAAGAGCTGATGAGGAAACTGCTGCTAAGGAATGAAGGTTAGCCTCTATGCGGTGCCTCCAGCACTAAGAATTAAGAATAGTCTTGATTAGTCGCTGTGCCGCCTAGTAAAAAACCTATGCCTGCGGCGAGCTATAACAACAGGTGTATGCTTTCAGGAATACATGTTATTTGTCTCGGCATCTGTGCAGAGCGAATAGATCCAACGAAAACGAGTAAAGTATGCAATTCAGCCAACCACACAGCAGACCCGACGCGTAAGGCAGCAGCAAGAAGCTCACACTCTACGGGAACAGCTTGATCAAGCAAAAATGCCGTGATAACATACGACGACACGCATAGCATTGCGTGTCTTCCAGCTCGCTAGAAGTGGCCTCTTCTGAAGTAGGCCTGCAAACACAAAGTAAGATGTCGTGCCGCAGTCCCGAGACTTAAAGCAGTGAAAATGGGGAACAAAGAGTTATTGCATGTTGCTACCAAAGAAAGCGAAACATTGCTTAAGTATCATAAAACCAACAAAAAACTGAAACCTGAAACCAAGAAATGAAGCAGCAAACTGTTGCAAGCTGCTTTATGCCTTTGAAAGCGGTGAAGTTGACAATGCTTTGGTGCACCTTGGATCTCATGCTCTTTTCAGACGTGTTCATGTCTAAGTTGTGAGTCATTTCTGAATCAAGATTGCGATTACAGTATTGCTGCCAAATTGCGCATCAATGCACTTTCTGTGCTCTCCCAACTTCAAGTAGCATCTGAATGAGTTCAAAACTTCTCAGATGATACTTTTGTCTGAAACAACTTGTGCTACCTTGATCACAAACATATGTAAATACGCAACGGCACATGAGAAAGGCAATGTCGACGCAGGTCGCAGCCAAAGAAAGAATACTGAGCATCTTTGCTACACGAAGGAACATATCTACAATGCTTCAAGAAAGAGAACAAACAAAGAGGAACCAGTATGGATGCAAAGGCAGTTCTTCTGAGAAACCGGCGCCGCCATATTTAAGTGAGTCGACTGCTTCAGTTTTTTCACATCCTCTGGAGCCGTGCAAAAACACAGACGATACGCTGAGCAGTTGTGATGAATAAATCGTCTGAAAAGAGAACAAAACACGTGCAATGAACTGCAAAAAAAATAAAACGTATGAACTAAAAAGGGTAATGTTATGAATTTCTTTTGGTCTGCGGTAGCCACCACAGGTCCTCAAGTTTCTCCATCGGTACTTGGAGGCTGCCCGCAGATCTGCCTGAGCATTCATCTCAAGACCGTCTCGAAATCCCAAGACCTCTGAATTTCCTAACCAGGAAACTGCACTCTTCTATGAAAAACTGAAAAGGTCTTCCTGGCTTTGCTCCTCCGCTCATTGCTTTGCTCCTCCGCTCATTCCCGGCATGTTCTCCCCTGATATGTGCAATTCTTGTCAACATGCGCCTTTTCATAGTGCTGAAGTGTTGAGGCCACTGTCGTATGCAATCCCGTCTTCTGCCGGCTACACCAGGAATGCTCACGCAACACACATTCGGAGGAAAAGGAGAGGGACAGCTCTGATAAAATATAACAACCCTCACCTGGCAAGTGATGAATCTGAAAAATTATATAAAGCTTGAATGTTTTAACAATTGAAAATGAGCTGTCATTTTGAAAAGTGCTATAAATTGAAAGATTCCTGCTTCAAGTAAACCCCGAATTTGCACGAAAACAGTCCAGAATGTTCTTTCGATGGGTTTTTGGGTGGATCAGCTTAGTGCATTTTCAGATTATAATTTATAGCAATTGTGAAATGTGATGTGTGTCAAATCTATATGTTTTTCAATTGTGTAACTGCTGTTCCTTTTTCATATCTAAAACGTCTTTCAAACATTATAACTATCGTTCAAAACGATGAGGTTTTTTGCAACTGCAAAGCGTTCCTTTTTAGATATATAACGTGATTTCACGTTTATAAGTGTTTTGCAAAATTGATTCTGACCCCACATTGTCCGAGTTATACTGTAATATGTCTGAAAACTTGCTGTGTGTATGTGTCCAAATGTCAATTGTTTTATTAGGTGTTGGGCTCTAACCTCACACTGTCCGCGCTTCAGTAATTTTAAGAATAGTATCTAGCTCTTTCCAATATATCACCTTTTCATCCAGTCTTTATTTAGGCCCCTACCCCCAACACTGTCCGAGCTACAAGAATGTTGAAAAACTATTGTAACGTGCCTTTTCGAATCACAAGTTTATTCGTCCAATGGTTCGGCCCTGACCCAGAACTTTGACTTATACTAGTATTGTTTATAACCTATTGTTGAAATGTTTAACGCGGTTCATCCAGTTCTCAGGATCTAAAACCACATCATCCAAGTTGTAATAGTTTGCAATATTATTACAGTGGTTGTTGTCATTTTTCATCCAGTGCCAGACTCTGACACCACACCATCCGGGCACAAACTTGTCAAAACAGGTTAATATCCTATTTTATGAGGCTTTTTCATACAGTCTTTAGGCTCTGGAAAGGAATGTATTGTTATTTTCCAAAGTTCTCGCATATGTTGAGAAAATTGGCAGGTTGTGGACAACGCATTTCCCTGCAATTTCTTGTCATCTGGCACAAACTGCACAGATTATAGAAGCTATGTTCTATGTGCAAGGAAGGAAGTTGTTGTTGTTCTAGTGGTCTGAGAATGCAACAAGGGCACTGGATAGGTATCCTGGCTTATATATATATATACATTATTATATAGTCTTATTCAACTGGCTCAAGCATCAAGCCGAGTGATCAGCGATCACTTGGCTGTCGAGGAGGTCAAGAAATCACGTGAAAAAGAACACGTAAGGCCAGATCGAGGACGGTGCGGTAAACATGAGACGACACTATCGGGTTTGCAATCACTGCCACCAGAGCTGGATCTGGGAGGACAGGCTGATGAAAAAGCCTGACTTGAGGTGCAATCAATGCGGAAAGGCATGGCAGCAAGTTCATCTACCTACCTGATCTTCGACAAGGCCGGAAGGTGACATGGGCTGGCAGGAATTTCCAGGGAGATGGACAAGTGTGGCCAGAGAAAACATACAATGAGGCGCTCCTCGAACCACCTGCTGGCCTACATGAAAGACCAAGAAGGTTAGAGACACCAATTTGCAAAAAGCGCTCAAAGAGCACTGGGACCAGATGCCAGAGGCATTCAAAACCCAATGCACGGCAATGGGAATGCAGATTGCGGAGCCCCCAGCAGGGCCAGATCTTCCTACGCTGATCAAAGAGGCAGTTGAGAAGATTGTGGAGCCAGACAAGCCTGAGCCTACTCTGGCATCCAAAGTGAAGCAGGCAGTGGGCACTTTGAAACAACTGTCAGAGAAGAAAGCTTCTTTGCAGAGCGAGGCAGATGCAGTGAAGGCACAGTACACGCAACTACTGCTACAAGGCAAAATCGAAGTGGCACAGAAGGAACTCCAGAACACGACCTCCTTGTACAACCAACGGTTGGAGAAAGAAAAGCAAAAAAAAGCTGATGAGATGGCGGATGATCTCTCGCCTGAAGCTATCCTGACTGCAATTGCCAGTGTAGGGCTTCATGCCACCTCAGCACAGGTGAACGACTTTGTATCGAAGCTTGCTGAGAGTGCGGCGAAAAGAAGGAAGTGTGGGTAACAGGCTCCATTCAGAGGAGATTGCAACAGGGGTTGTGTCAACACAACCAGTTCCGGAGAGTTTCACTTGGGGTTGCACAGTGGAGCTAGAGTACCTGGTTACGCAGATTTTGGCTCAGGCCACACAGGAGCACCCGTGTCCTGCCTGGGGATGAGGCGCCAGCTTGCTCTGAGCTGGCCAATCTTGGAGGGCAAGTGACTAATTACCCTAGCTTTTGTGGGGGAGCTGGCAACATGGACACTCCCATGATGCCAGTGAACGACGATGACGAGCAGCCTGAACCAAAGGCTGACAGATCAGGTTGGCCGGTGAGCGCACTTGACTATGCCGATGAGCGCACTTGACTATGTGATGCAGAATTTGCAGCGTCGGCTCGGCAACCCCAGGAACCGGTGTTTTGCAAATTCACCTTTTCGCCTCTGGGCTTGGGCCGGTAGCTTCATGGAAGGGCCAGCATTGTGGAACAGAACCACCGCGGCTGTCATGGCTGCTTTGACAGATGACGATGTGGTGCACTTCACGGCGCTGACCACCTTGGCGCCTCGCAGACACTCAGGGAGTGATCCAGGGCTACCATCAGGTGGACTACAGGCAAGAAGTTCATCACAGAAGAGCTTTCCCTGTCCATTTGATCTTCCGAGAAGTCAATGTGACGTCGGAATTGGAGCACTTGATAGCAGAATGGGCCACTGCGAGCGGAAAGCGTGTCTGCGCATGTGGTTGCGCCGCTTGCGCCACCGGCGCCGCCTGCGCCACTTGCGCCGTTTGCGCCACCTGCGCCGCTTGCGCCGATTGCATCTTCTGCGCCGCCTGCGCCGTCTGCGCCGTCTGCGCTGTCTGCGCCACCTGCGCCGCTTGCGCCGCTGGCGCCGTCTGCGCCGCCTGCGCCGCTTGCGCCGTTTGCGCCGCCTGCACCGCCTGCGCCGCCTGCGCCGCCTGCGCCGTTTGCGCCGCTTGCGCCGCCTGCGCCACTTGCGCCACCTGCGCTTCTGCGCCGCTTGCGGTGCCTCTGACACCCTTTCACACGCGACGCTCGGCGCGCGCTCGAGCGCCAGAGGACCAGCGCTGCGGGCGTGCACTCGATCGTTGGACAGAACAACAACCTCCTCAAGGCTGGCGCGTTGAAAAACGCAAGAAACTGGGGCGGAGGGATTGGGTCTCTGAGTTAGAGTACGAAGATGGCACATATACAATTGACAGCTGCAAGCAGCAGCCCAAGCTACTTCAACCTTTTCTACCGGCACGCTGGTCTACCGGTGAGAACGGTGTAAGCCTTGCGCTTAAGCAGTCAATCCCACGTACCGACCAAGACCTTTCAGGTCACAGCGTTAGTAAAAGCTAGTTCCTGATTCGAAAATGAAAATGTCCGTTGGGAGCGCGAAAAGTCGAAAGCTCAAAAAATTGATTTTGGCTTTCGGACACATCCGAAAAGGAAAAGAAAAACATCCGAAAAGTTGAAAAGTTCATTTTGTCTCGGGCCCAATCGAAAAGTCACAAATTCCGAAAAGTCGAAAAATCCGAAAAAGTCGAAAAGTCAAAAACGAACGAATCCAGTGTCCTTTCCAATGTAAGTCACTAAGTCACGCTGAGTCACGGGCGACAAAGAACCTTCCATGGACCCTTCTACTTTAGAAACATTGAAAATTTCAACAAACATTGCATGGTTGGGCGTTCGGACCGCCAGTCTAAGGCGTCAGAAAGAATTAGACGTTAAGGTGGTTCTGGCGCTTCCAGCCTGAGAGTTTCGAATGACACTCTTGAGAGCGGTTATCCTCCTTGCAAAATGGCTGCGGTTTCCTGAAGAAGTGCCAGAAAAACGACATTGCACGATGGAGCGGATGGAGCGCATGGAGCAGATGGTGCGGATGAAGCGGATGGTGCGGATGGAGAGGATGGAGCGGAGCGCATGGAGCAGATGGTGCGGATGAAGCGGATGGTGCGGATGGAGCGGATGGTGCGGATGGAGCGGATGGTGCGGATGGAGCGGATGGAGCGGATGGTGCGGATGGCGCGGATGGAGCGGATGGAGCGGATGGAGCGGATGGAGCGGATGGTGCGGATGGAGCGGATGGAGCGGATGGAGCGGATGGAGCGGTTGGAGCGGAAGACGCTGATCCCTCTCGCAATGGAATGGGCCAACCCGGCAGAGGGCCAGGTCTTTGATGGCAAGGGCCTGTGGGTGGCACAGATAGGCAGATATGCTCAGGTTGATGGTGTTTGGACAAAACACCACCGACCCCTCAATGTCCCGTCAATCTTCAACCTGCCTTGTCACCCTGGATGGCAATGAAACTAGAACCATGCAGTATTCGGTGATAGGCATGCTTTGTCACTCGTGCAATCACCAGCACGGGCATTTCTACGCTGTGTTCACCTATCGTGGACTCTCCTGGATTGTGGATGATGGTTCCTTCCCTAGAGCAATCCCAAAAGACCAGGACAGGATGAAGTCCCAGATTGTTACAAAGCTCCTGTTGACTTCAGGTGAGGTGGCAACAGACTTCCCGACAGGCAAGACTTTGATGGAAGAAAACCATGAACCAGCCAAAACGGAGGTTTGATTTTGCCAATGTGACCAACCTTGGGCAATCAGTCAGGCAATGGCTGATGGGGCGCTCGCGCTCCCCCATCTTCATGGTTGAGACCCAGTTGGGGCAGGCTGGTCATGAGGAAATGCTGCAATGGATGGCAACACGTGGTTTTGGGGTGCTTGGTGAACCTGCTGCGGAGAGTGCCAAGGGTGGCACTTATGGGGGGCACGCTGCTTCTTTTCCCGGCTCACACGCATTTCCATTTTGCGCAGAAGCAGATAGTCGAAGGTTGCGGATGGTATGGTGTCACGTGGACCTTTGACAACTTTGATGTGGTCATGATCATGGCCTATTTCAAGTGTGGAGAAGGCATTCAAAGCCAGACAAATGCTTTGCTCTGGTCAGGTTTGTTGACCTTTGTCACAGGGCTCCAGAAACAGGTGATCATCATGGGGGATTTTAACATCACTCCGGAAGAGTTCATGACTACCACAATGGCACAAATCATGCAAGTTCAAGTCTTACAGTAGCCACTGGAGAAAAGACATGCAATACTGGAAATGAACTTGATTGGGCTTTAGTCTCCAATGCGCTGGTTGCGGACATGCAAGTCACATGCAACTGGACGGTTCCTTTCCGTCCACATGCTTTGCCCATAGCAGTTCGTCAGCTCACCAAGTTTGGGCCTGCACCAAAGCTCGAAAACCCGGACAAAGAGTGGCATCAGGTTGAACACCTAACAAAAAGCTACTAGTAACAAGTGCATCGCTTCTAGTAACAAGTGCCTTGCTAGTAGTAACAAGGACGCTACTAGTAACAGAAGTACCAGTTCGATGGCTGGAGCAGCAAGATGACACCCTGTCCAAGAACGCAAGGGGGCTATACCACAGGATCGAGCGCTATGTCCTGCAGAAACTGGAGGCGCCGACAGTTGGCAGAGGCACGGTTCACAGACCTGTGGCTGATCCCAGCCGACCGTGGATGTGGCGCAAAGGAAGCCTTGCATTTTGGGGACAAGTTGAGGTACCTTCACAAACCGAGAGGTGAACCAAAGCTTATAAGAAGTTGAGGTGGCACACCGAGCAACATTGGGACCCGGATGCAAGAGTCACCTTCGAAGGTTTTAATCTGCTCTTCGAGATGCTTTGGAGCCAGCATGATGACGAGCACATTCATGCGTTCTTAAATTTTGCGCAGCAGCAACGGGAATTTCACCAAGCTGAAAGCTTCTCGCTTGAGACTGAAGAATACAGACAGTGGCTGACCAAGGCTACACAGAGTGGCTGCCGTGGTTTGTTCAGATCTTTGAAACGGAATGAGATGCCATATTTGCGACCTTTTCAAGATAGGCCGAGAAGGGAACGCATGCCGTGGGGGGCCATATGGCAAGTCCAAGCAGAACAAGTCCAGCTCAAATGCCTTGAGCAGTTGATTCACAAAGGACGTGAAGAAGCAAGTGCGCTTCCCCCTCTCACTGAAGGGCACATATGGTATACCATTCGGCAGATGGCGCTCAAAGCCCGGGGGCTTGATGGCATTGGTTTCGACTTCCTGAAGGCCCTGCCTTTTGTGGCGATGTCGGATTTGAAAGAGCTCTTTCATCACATTGAGGAACAGGTCATGATACCCAGCCAGTGGGGTACCTCATTGATTGCTCTTTTGCCCAGCCATCGAGAGGCCTAGTGTCTTGGTTGCCACGCTGTACCGCTTGTGGTGCAGATTGAGGAATGCCCAAACGAAAGCCCTTGGGAGAGAGCGGTTGGCACTGAGCGCCTACAGGTTGCATTGAGAGCATTTGTGAACACCATCGGTAGCGCGTAGGCGGGCCCTGTAGGCGCACGGTAGTCTGACCGCATCAACTTGAAGCTGGCGGAACGATGGCTGGACTCCACCTATCCTACACATGCTGCCCTGGCAGGTGTGGAGCCGCATGGAAGCTGAAGGTGAAGCCTCCGAGCCTTTGTGAACCAGTCATGGCATTCTGGCAGGTGACCCACAAGCTCCTTTGGCAGCTAAGGTCTACTTGCACCGGGTTCCACAGCTGCATCAGATCTATGGATTGACCTCAGCTTCGACGTCATCGACCGGGACCCCAGAAATGCGGTGAGGATTGCTGCGCAGGCCTATGAGTTTATCAAGGCCCAGCTGGAAGAGGACAATTTGAAGGTGTTGCAGAAGACCGGGTTTGTGGTCTCCAACGTTGAGGCCAAGCGGCTGCTCAAGGACCAGCTGTCCAGTGATGGACCCAAAGTACACGATGTCATGAGAGATTTGGGGGTTGACTGCACGGCAGGCCGCCTCAGACGCATCCAGACAATGCGCAACAGAAGGGCCAAAGCCACAAGGAAAAACAAAAAGCTCCAAGCCCTGAAAATCCCTACCAAGGCCATCAGACTTCGTTTATACAAGGGCAGCATTGTGGCAGGAGTAAGCTGGGGCCATGAAGCCATGGGATTGGCTCCTCAAGTGCGGAGACGTCTCCACACGGCCGGCCAGGCAGATGGGATTGCACAAGAGGCAACATAGACATTGTCTTTGACATGCAGCCACGACACAGGGATCCTGACTACGCGGCCTTTGAAGACCAGATCAAGGTTTACAAGAAGTTCTTCGGAAACAGGCCTGAAGCTCTTCATCAAGACCTTGAAAAGGCCTGGCAACATCGACTTCAAGAAGTGAAGCATCCTTGGCAGCATGCCAAAGGACCGGTGGCGGCCCTACAATGCTATTTGATGGAACATGGCTGGAACTTCGAGAAGTATGATGAGTGGACGAAACCAGGTCATAATGGAGAGCCTGATTGCAAGCTGAGCATGCATGCAGAGTGGTTTTTCCTCGAGCAAGAGGTTGCACGTGCCCAGCGTTGGGAAACTGTCATGAAGCTCAATAAAAGAACCATGCTGCAAGAGATCCAGCAACCCCTGGACTGGGTGCCCTGGCGCCGATTTGCTAACAAGCTCTCCAAGGTGCAGAATGTGGCACTCCAAACTTGGCATCAGGGCTCGCTTTTCACCAAGATGGCTGATGGGCAAGGTGATGGACATCTTCAGTGCCCGCATTGCCACCAAGAAGCCACAGCAGTGCACCTCATCTGGTTGTGCCCTGAGACACAAAAGGCCTTCCCTCCGCTGGATGAAGATGACAGACAGGAGATTGAGCAGGGCTTGAATTTGGAATTCTGGTCGCAGGGCCTCATGCAGTTGCCCCGATATGAGATCTCCACTGGAGGTGCATCAGTCCAGGCTTGGGGCTCATGGACGACACATGATGAGGTGCGCTTGCACAACAGTGATGTTGTCACCATAGGCATTGCCCCAACCAGCACTGGCTCAAGCACTATGTTGTGGCCCTGGTTCATCACACCCACATTGGCGGCGAGCTTTACATGAAAGGGGCAGTGACTACTGTCCTTCCGGGCAAACAGTCGCTGGAGCGGGCCTGGTTCTTTGGTTTGAGGCTGACGGCTCACTATGTTGATTTGACCCGTCAAGTCAAAGTTCAAGCTCTGTCGACCAGGGCTTGGGAAGCATGGGTGCATGGAAAGCATAGACACACTTTCTTTGACCTCAACAAACTGGTCACTGCTGACCAGCGGAGCAGGATCAAAAGCCTTGACCATGAGCCTGAAGCAAGTCAATGACATGCCTCCGGGTTTCTACACTGTGAAGACACGCATGAAAGATGCCACCAAAGTCGCCAAGGAGGTAGTCCTTTCATTGCGGCCCATCAAGCTAGAGGAAGAACTCAGAATCACAGATCAAAGATATGCCAAAATTGCATGTCTCACAATCCAGAGGATCAGATATTTGCTCGAAACCAAAGACCACTTCCTACACAATGCAAGGGAAGAAGGCAAGTTTAGACGAAAACAGGCCAGAGACAAAAAGTCTCAGCTTTTCCTGGACATCGGCAACAGCACCGCTGCCCCGGGCACAAATAAAATGCCAAAGGCAAAGGGCTGCAGCACCAACAATGCCAGAAGAGGATCACAAAGCATTGCAAGTATGCTGATCTGCTAGCGGTGCAAAAAGAGGTTTGCACAGGGGCTCCGTCCATGCCCATCAAGGGCGGAAATGAGGCAGCTGGAGAGTCAAAGGCACCAATGGTGAGCTCCTGGAGATGTCAGATCATAGCTTCACCATGCAGACCAACTACATCGTCTGCAGGAGCTGCAATGTCAGAGCCTTGAAGAACTCCGCCAGCGGCCTTGCTGGAATCAGGCTTGGCAGCCAGAAGCAGCGTGGCAGGGACATCCCACCCATGCTCTATGGCGAAAAGGAGGGAAAGTCTACTGCGGCAAGTGCAAGGCCCACTGCATTGCAGACGGAGGTGAACGATGGAGACCCAGCAGCACCATCAAAAAGAGGTGCGGAGGCGACACTGGGCAGCAGAGGCTGCCGGCACTCTTTAAGGCCAACACGGCCGACTGACCGCAGAGCAGGAGCAAAAGACACGAGGAAAAAAAAAGTCTTGTTCAACTTTGCAATTACAAGCATATGGCATTGTGCCAGCACTTACCTGAGTGTTCATGATGAGTTCAGGATGCTGTCATCTTCATGCAATAGGAGTCCAAAAGTCGGAGCAAAGTTCTCGCTCGTCGGAACCCTACAGTTTTCCAAGTTGACTGAAAGTTCTGGAAGGTCGTGAAGTGTCCATGATGACTTGCATGTTCAATAAGACGTTAGCCCTTTATGATAAGATCATCACAGGGTTTAAGGCTGTACAGACAAATCTGAAGTATTAGTAACGGTGATGGAATTGACGGCGTCATAAAGATTCATGGGAATCTGTTCGAGCTTGAAACAATTGAGTTGAATTCATCAAAGAGTACACATTTTTGGAGGGGTCCAGGAGTCCAGGGTGTAAACGGAATTGGCCGCGGAGCGACTAGTTCTGTCAGTTCTCGGCATCCAAGCCCATCATTTCTGCATACTGCGATGCCTGCTGTCAGAACCAGTCCCACTCAGTTCCCACTATTTCCATTGAAAGAATCCACTGGTTTAGCTGCTAGTTTTGTCGGCTTTCAGAAGTTGCAAGCTTGATGCTGTCTGCTGGCCTCATTCCTCTCTCCAGGCAATTGCAGTCCATTGAGGTAACAAAAAAACCTCACAGGCAAGGGAAGGAGTCTCAACAGTAGGAAGACATGAAGTTGCGAAGAAGCCTTGTGGTAGCTGCCAAGTGCACCACGAAAGTTCTGGTCCTGATAGAAGCACCACACAAATAGCCAAGTCAAGTAGAATCTAGCAAGAAGGTCCAAGAGTCCAAGAAGGTCAGTAACGTTTCTCACAACTTGAGCAGGAAACCCAAGAGTTGTATCCTTGAAGCGAGTGTTGCCCTCTTGCTTGAAAGTCTCCGCCTCGCATCGAACAGAAGTAGCAACAAAACTGTTTAGTAGCGTCCTTGCTCCTAGTAGCGATGCCCTTTGCTCCTAGTAGCATTCTTGTTTCTAGTAGTAAGGCCAGGAGCCCCTAGTAGCTTCTTGCTCCTAGTAGCGATGCCAGGAGCCCCTAGTAGCGTCCTTGTTCCTAGGCAACCTAAAGGCAAGCCTCCAATATGAGGCTACTATGAGCAACAACGGCATTCCAGTCTTATGAGCCTGGTCAGTGCTACTTGTCCGCGCTTTTCGCGCTTTTCAATCGGTAGTCTCGCTACCCTGTCTCTCCTACTTATCACACTTCAAACGTCCAGAACTCTTGCCCTGCAATTTTTTTTGAACAAAGCTCTTGCCGACTCTTGCCTGTCCAATCTGCGAGAGAACTTCCGCCATCACAAAGGAGAACAAAAACACCGATGCTTATTAGGCCGCCTAGGTCACCTAACTCAGAATGCTGAGAAGGGCAGCATCCTAACTTGGAAGCCGTGAACACGAAGTCATGAAAATAGAGCAGGAATGATCGTCTGCTCCTAACTGCATGAGCTTGTGCATGTAAGTAACTGTAAGTTGACCTGAAAGTCGGCTGAAAGTGCTAAACCGGCGACGGGCATGCAGAAAAATGAACCTATGCTTGAAGCTGATGAGCCCCAAAACGGTCCAAGGCGCAACAAGTATCAGCAACTCACCACATCTTGTTTCTCTGTATGTCCATATGGCTTGAGTCACAGAGAATGGGCTTGGAATTTGGGATTTCAAGCCACGTCTCGAGAAGTCATGGTCCATGTGTGGCAGGTTCTTTAGCACTGCGATTTCATGTTCGGCCGAAAACACGGAACACAAATTGCATGGGGCCCCAGGATATGTCATGATACCATCTATATAATTGCGTCTGGTCTAGGGTCACTTTGTTGCGCAAAGCATTAAAGGCGAAAGGCTACAATTACATACAGCTTACAACATCTTGCAATTTACAATCAAATGAAGGAACCATCAAGTAGTTCTTTGCGAAACTCCTGCATGCAATCAAAATATATACAACAGCCAAGGCATCCTCTTTGAGGGTGCCTTGCCACATCGCAGTGAGATCGACGCAGTCGGTAAATCTGTTCTACGGTGGTCATGGCCTCTTTGGGCACAAAACCGTCAAGTTAGCGATGCCAGGAGCTACTAGTTGCTCCTAGTAGTAAGGCCAGGAGCAGGAGCAATGGCCTCCACTCCCGTGGGCTTC